CCGCAGTGCAGGCTTCTCTCTCCTCCCAGCAGACCACCTGCCCACCCCCTTGGCACCTCCCTAGAGCTAGGAGCCACTCCCCTTTCTCAGCATCCCATCCAGCTGGGAGGAGAGAGAAGCCTGCACCAGAGCTTGGCTCTGCCCCCCAGAGCCAGGAGTGGGGCTGCAGTCACTTAGCCATGCCTCCTTCTCAGCCTTCCTGGGGCTTGTGGGCAAGGCATAGCTCTGGAGGGTGAAGCCAAGTGCCCCTATGGGCTTCTCCACCCCATCCCCTCAGCCAGCCCAGAGGCTGAGGAGGGGGCATGGCTCTTAGCTCTGAGGGGCCAAAGCCAAACTCCCCTTCTGCCCCTCTCCTGTCAGCCAGCTTGGAGGCTGAGAAGAGTGCATGACTAGCAGACTTGAGCCCCTTCCTAGCTCTGGGGGGCAGAGCCAAGACCCACTGCAGGCTTCCCTCCATCCAGCTTGGAGACTAAGTGGGTTTGGCTCCTGGCGCACTGCTCTGGGGATGATGCTTTTTTCCCCCCATCCCCTCAGTTGGCTGAACGCTTAGAAGGGGATATAGCTAGGGGATTCTAGCCCAATGGTGGATTGAGGGCAGAGTAAGACCCACAGTTCTGAGTTCCCCTCCCCTCCTTCCTGGACTGCTGCTTGCTGGGGTCCAGTGCAGGGCAGGAGGGGTGGGTTCCCCCCCAACCTCGTACTCAGTGCGCTAGGAGGCTAAGAATGGTGTGTGCCTTGGGGAATCAGGGAAATATTCTCTGATGGCTAGGAGGCATGCTCTAGTGCCCCCACAACTATTAGTATGGGCACTACAGGGGTCTGGCTGCCTTCTGTATTTCAAAAGTGAAAGTTCACTGGCTTATAGGTTCAATCTATGCAGTTTAGAGAAACGTGCAAAAATTGAACTCATTCAGTCTCAGGCTTTTTGACTGTCTGTACTTAGCCCTAAAGACTAAGCTGTCCTCATGCCAATCAAGCCCATGTGCTTTGCCCCATGCCATATAGCATATCCTTTTCTCTTCCCTAGAACTGTCTCTCTCACCCTGTCTTCTCATTCTCATCTTTTGTGTTACTTCATAGCCAATTTCAGTTTTCATTCCCCAGGCTTCTCATCCAAGTTCCAATCTCCCATTGTACCATGTACCCCATCCCAAATATATTTTCAAGGGTCTTCATCTAATTTTCACCATCTTCCTAACTTCCTCATTTCCCACTGATTCTGACAATGAGCTGAGATTTTTCCTGATCATGGCAATGAATCAATGCACTCTGTCTCAGTGGCCTAAGATAATATACTCAAGCCAGTTACTACATCCTTCTACTATATGATATCACTTTCTGATGCTAAAATTCCCTTCCCTACTCTGTCAGGTCACTTCCTAAAGGTTCTCTTACTGTAGCCTGACTTCACATAAACTCACTTAGGATATGCATTCATCCAGGGATAAAGTCAGCTATTTTGTATTCAACCAAATAATAAGTGCCTATATTAATAAAATCCCTAAAATGAAATAGCCATCAATGAAGAAACTAGTGTAAAAATAAAGAGGGAATTTAATTTATGCCCCTTCCACATAACCTAATTTGTATCACCATCACATTTAAGAAGAATCTTTACCTTTTATGAGGTAGAAATATGGAAATTAACAAAAATGGGGTTTTAGATAACTTGAAAGTAAAGCTATCTTAGAAATCTTTCATAGGTCACATACAGAAATTGACTATTAATTTCAACCTGTCACTAGTTAAATGAAAACTGTATCCATGTGAATTGTATTCTGTTTTAATTTTAAATATAACAGAAAAGCTAATTTTACTTAGAATGGTAATGAAAAATTAAATACTCAAACATTGTAATGGATCTGGTTGATGACACCTTTTAGGGTGCTTATTACTTCCTTGTAGACATTTCTGTTTCTGAGACTATATAATTTTACCAAATTTATTTATTTGGACTGCAATTTCCCTTTGTTTACCATTATTTCTATCTGATTTGGTGCATGTGGCATGTGTAGTAAGTATTAGCAAAAGTCTTTCACTTACTTCCAAAAATGAAATTTGAGGTCAACCGATTACTTACCAATATATTTTTAACCCCAATCATTATTTTTTTAACTGTAGTGCATATGAAGTTTTAAGCTGGGGTATGGAAGTTTGGTAGGGAAATAGCCCTGTGATCAGGAAGGTGGCTATTGCTGTTCCCATGAAAACTCACCAAAAACTGGTCAAGTCATAAGCATCTGAAAGTTCCCATTTGCACATGCTAACTAAAGCTTAGTGTTTAAATCTCAGAACATACCATCTACAAGAAGAATGTTTTAGCTGCACTGAACTTTCTATATGTCAAATTAATTTAGTCATCTTGGTTCCTACAAGCCCTCCTGCATGGTATGTCCTGATTTAAATTCCTGAAATGGGAAATGTACCATAGCTGCTTCCTTAGGGTTACGAGAAGATACAACATTCATATCTGGAATGAGACGACAATAAATTGTACCTATACTTCTTCCTCCGAGTGGAGGATAGTTGATGGAAGATTAACAATTCTGTGCCCTTTTCCATCCTTAATATTGAAAAAGCCTTATGTTTTGCCTTTGGGGCAGGCAAGTTCTTGTCAACTCCCTATTTCACAAAAGGGGAAACTGAGATGTTGCACAAAGTTGAAAGCTTAACATTTCCTCCTTTGTGCATGGAAAGTGGC